TCCATCTCTCTGTAATCCCTTGCGTGCTAGATGCTCCCCCGCCTTGCTTGGGGTTGAATGCTTAAAAAAAAGAAAAGAAAAAGGTATTCCAATTTTAACACCTTTCTCATCAGGCATTGACTCGGTCAAAAGGCTTACTAATATACAATAAATATTATTAGTGTTATTCATCATTATTTATTCAGTAAGCGCATCACGTGCCGTTGTATTCATCACTCCCCACCGTTTAACAACTGTCGTCATAGCGACATTCGATGCAAAACTGTGCAATGTCTTGCCAGTTCCTTTTGTACCGGAGATGTTGAGGTTATCTCGACCTACCTTTCAGAAGTTATGGAGACAGGACCTACAAGGTAGCAAATAGTTGACCTATTCCTCGACTTCTGCCAACTAAGGCTATATAACAGAGTCGGCCCGGATATTTGCTTAGAAATAGGGAGTTTGAAATGGATTTATACATTTTCCAAGGGACAGTGAATGGAAGGAACTCGACTTTAATTCGAATTAGCCTTTACGATTCCTCAGTCCGCGCCCATATGCATCATTCCACCCTATTAGTAGTTTTATTATCAATGTTAATTTTTTTTATTTCTGTAATTTTTTCGTCAGCCTAATATCTTTCTCTTTTCTCTTTCTCTCTCTCTCTCTTTCTCTCTCTCTCTCTCTCTCTCTATATATATATATATATATATATATATATATATATAGAGAGAGAGAGAGAGTTTAAGAAAAACTAGGTAATTCCGTATGGGTAAACCTAAGGAGGATAAAATCCAGAGAGCTCTATGTAAATCCAGAGCAAATAATTTAAATAAAAACAGACCACTTTAAGGTTCTATATAATAAATTATTTCACCACACCCCTTTTTAAAGAACTGTGGATCATCAGACTTTACTTCCAAACAAAAAATGAAAATAGAATTTACACATTTTTGACATTAAACATATATGAATTAACGAAGTGAGAAAGTGAGGGGGGAGAGAAGACATGAGTGAGTTAGCAGACATTGACACATTTAAACGGTTAACTTAACGGAAGTTATATATTGATATCGAAGGGGTAGAGAAGAAAAAACCCATAGAGAGAAAAAAGAGAAGGAAGTTATGAGAGAAAGTGTCACTAATTTTCTTTGTAAAAAAAAGGCTAGAAACAGACGCTGTTATTTTGCTTTACTTTGAAAGTGTTATTTTGGGGGTTCATAAAGATTATAATGCTTGATATAAATTTGAATGTCTCTAGACTGTCTACAAATAATTTAATTTGATGTTTGTTAGTGATTTAAATTATATATATATATATATATATATTTTAGCATCCCGCTACCACTTTTTTATCAACTGATTAAGTGACACTTAAGACCCGCCAGTGATTTACGAAGGAGGAGCAAGAGCAAGGATTGTGAGATGAATCACCGTTGGATTGGCTGACCTTTTAGATCTTGCTCTTGCTTCTTGAAGATGATTCAGACAAGCATATTGAAAACTGCTGAGTCCACTAAAACACGTTGATCTCCATTCTACCCGCTCCAAGGGTGTAAACCAATATTGACCAATTGTTAGATTAAACACTGAACTATTGTATCTTAGAAATGATTAAAGATATCTCAGTGGAATTCTCCGGGTTTTTTTTCAACCTTGAGCAATAAAAATGTATGATTACTCTCGAAACTTAGCAGCAGAATCGTGATGAAATCGATCATAAACGAAAATTCATGTTCACCATTAATTAATCATAACTAAGAATCGGAAGCTGGTGAAGGATTCAAATAAAGTTCATATCCATATATATATATATATATATATATATATATATATATATATATATATACGGCAGAAATCTTGTGATAAATATAGCAACAATGATGAGGACAATAGTCCAAATAATGTAAATAGTGAAAACAAAAATATTAGTCTAAAACATCGAGGCATATTCTTAAATATCCTCGTCAGATCGAAACTTTCCTATTGGTTCCATGCATGGCGGCAAAATTAAAATTCTACATAATCAGCTATATACAACTGCTTTCTCATATCAATGGTTAAAGAATAACTTGCCTGTAATTCTTAACGAGAACCAGCCTTCATCGAATCGCAAATAATTGTACCAAATAATAGAAACTATATGACTTGAGGACTTTCAACAACCGCAACAACTAAAATGAATAGCGCATGTAACTATAATAATGACTTAATGAAGATACTGACGTTTTCCAATTCTTCAGCAAACGAAAGCTGACATCGAAAGAGCGATAACACTTACTGGTGTAGAGAAACCTATTTTCCTGAAAAATTGCTTTTAGAGAAAGATTTTAATATATTTAGTGTTTATACGTTTTTCTTTCTTTTTTTTTTTTTTTATAGATACAGATATTTAAATAAATGCTCTGTTTATAAAAAAAACAAAAACGAAACAGTATTAACAACAATTACCGGTCTGAATGTCCGAGAAATTACATCGAAAAAATGTGTCCTCCGGCAGGAATCGAAACTATACCCTACACGGAACCGTCATATAACCCGACGTGTTATACCATTTAACTACAGAGGAAGCGTCAAGTTAGCATGGCCGAATTACTGCTTTTAAACTACAAATTTCCCATGATTTCTCTCGAACGCTCATATTTGCTCGAAGCGTATATATTATGAAATGAACTAAGTAGTTATTTAAATATATTTATTGTTTATACATTATTTTTATAGAAACAAATATTTAAGTAGAGAAAGATTTCATAAGTTTTAATCCAAAGTTACACTGGCTGCTCAGTCAATGAATGCCAAATCTGAATTATGTGTTCATTCCTTCCTCCGTCAGAAACACGGATTACGATAAATAACAATTCTAAATGATATTCAGAGGAGGGGCGTCGTATTTTCATACGGTAATAAACATGAAAGAGCTAGAAAGAAGTTCTAATGTCTACCGGCGCAACGCATACGGATAAAAAGATGTTTAACCTTAGTAAGGAGAGGAGAATGTCTGACAGACAGATGGGTGTACAGTTTTAAAGCGATCAGCTTTTCTTCTGCTCTCACTTCGCAGTTCACCCAATACAAGTCTCAACAGTCTTAAGGGCATATCATTTTGAAACACCGGTCTCCTTATGATCAGTGAAGTTAAGCAATATCGAGCCTTCTCAGTGTCTAGATGAGTGACCGCTTGGGAATATCAAGTACTGTAAACTTAGATGTGTCTCAGCCGCTGCTGGCCGCTCCTCAACAAAAACAATCAGGACGAACTTAACCTTCACATCTCTTTCTGCTCCCGGAACTAAATCAGCGGGATCTACGGGGAATTTTTGTCCGAGTCGTTTAGTTGGAATATCTCCGACGACCAACCCGAATTGTTGAAGCACACGGCCAGGTTGCAACCATTCCAACTTCCTGTCGCTAACGCGTTCCTGGACCCCATAACCGAGTTCTCGAGCGATGCTCGCACAAAGTGTCCTTGTTATGGCAAAACACACAAAAAAAGATCTTATTTTCTCCGAACTAAAAAAACTTTGTTGTTTCGGTGCCGAAGCTTTTTTCCGCCCTCAACTACCTTAGCTGACAGTCCTGTTTACCTGACCTCGAAGCCCGACCTTCCATCCGACCGACGACCAACTTGCCAAGAAATAACCTCCCAGGTTACCAGACCAGGTTACCAGACCAATCTACTCAAATCTGACTACAATCCAGATAGTCCACCTGGAACAATCCTTTTCTGTTTTGTTATAAAAACGCACGTCGTTTTAGTGCAATAAATCTGATGTTTCTCTTAAATATAAACCTGTGTCTCCTGATTGTGTTTGCTGTTCACATCTTTCTACAACATAAACGAGCTTGTGCGGTCGACATCCTTATCGGACCCACAACAGATGTGCGAGTAGTGTAACGGATAATGGCTAGGAATTTTTAATGGGAGAGCCGAATTCCAATTCCCTTTGGGTTTATTATATTCATTTACACACAAATACCCTTTGAATAAGCCGTAGAAAACAAATCAATCTGGGAATTGAGGTAGAAAGGTCTGAACCCTCAGATTGACTGGAAAATTTTAAGTTTCGTTTATACTCCCAATATTCTTAGGAATAGGTATGACCTATGTTTAGAAGAGAAAATTAGAACACTAAATCAATGCAAAATATTAAATCTAAAGAATGAATTAATATCAAAATGTCATCACGGGAGTAAGTTCAAACTTATATAATATTTTTGATCTTACTTTATTTTTTTTTACTTATCTAACCCTTCTAATATGATACATATTCCTTAGTTGTTGCTATTTTGCCTACTCCATGTCTATTCTATCTTAGGACCTTACAATACCTTATGAACTCCACTACTTTGTGCATTATGCTCCTGAAATATTTATTTCGGTTGAGCTCTCTGGGGAGGAAGTGTGGGTTTATAAAAAGTGACTATTACGGCTAATAATGCAAGACTCTTCGGTAAATCAAATCGAGTTCTCTCAGTCATTGTGTATTATCCCAAAATAAATACGATTAAATTCACCTTCATCCATACTGACGCCAATTCAGTCGGGTTTCGATCCTAGCTAGAGGCAACCGAACGTCAAGCCACACTGAATAACTGTAATACAACAGAACAGTCTGTCTGTGGTTGACAATATATATATATATATATATATATATATATATATATATATATATATAGTTTTATGGTGCGCTATATTTATGGAATAAAGGGCTCAATATCAAAGATAGAGAGTATATAAATATAAAAGTGAACATTGAAGTCAACACTCAAAGTCGGCAGGCTGTTTCATGCTAGACGCAATCATCTGTTGATTTCAATGTTCACACACACACACACACACACATATATATATATATATATATATATATATATATATATATATATATATATATGTATGTATGTATATATATATATATATTAGTACCCAACGTTTCATTTTTTTTACTTTCCCTTACCAGTTAGATAATAAAAAGTTCTAAGATATGGAAATATTTCGTTTTATTTTTTGCATTTTCCTGGTTTACGGTCATATAACTTTGAAACACCATTTCACGTACGATCACCGAAGCTAAGCAAGATGTACCTGGTCACTACTTAGATGGGTGACTGCTTGGGAATACCAGCTGCTGTAAG